CCTTCATTGATCATATGGAAATGGAAAAGATCACAATGAATGGATAGAAATATACTTGGTGCAATAATAGAATTTCAGAAGGACTGGTGGAAGCCAAGCTTGACAGGGGATTTGCATCAGCAACTTGGCTAAATAATCATCCTCAAGCTTTAATTCAAAATCTAGCAAGCAGTGCCTCAGACCATTCTATGTTGCTGTTGCAATCGGGTGATAAGAAGAACAGGAAAAAATCCAGGTTCCACTTTGATAAGAGGTGGCTTTTGAAGCCAGGATTTAAAGAAATCATTCAACAAGCCTGGAATACTCCACATTCTGGAACCCCTTTCTTCATTCTCAAAGAAAGAGTTAGATCAACCAGAGAGGCACTTCTGAGATGGAGTGCAGGATTTAAATCCCAAAACCAATCCAATATTGAGAATCTCACCAAAAAGCTGAACTCATTGCATCAAGTTGGGTACCAGCACAATTGGGATGAATGGACTGAAACAAAGAAAGAACTTAATGCAGCTCACAGATTAGAGGAAATTTTTTAGCAGCAAAAAGCAAAGGCTCAATGGCTAAGAGAAGGAGACAGCAACTCAAAGTTCTTCCATGCATACACCATGTCAAGAAGGAGACAAAATGCCATTTCTAGGCTTCTCACCAATCAGCAACAAGTTTGTGAAACTCAGCAGGAAATCCAAAATCTTGTCACTCAGTTCTACACAAACCTTTTCACCTCTGAGGGATCTTGGGGAGGGGATTCAATTCTGCCATTGGTCACTCCATCAATTTCTGAAGACATGAACCACCTATTAATGAAGTCAGTTACTGAAGAAGAAATCAAAATAGCCCTTTTCAGTCTAAATCCAGACAAACCCCGGGAGAAGATGGAATGACAGCTCTCTTCTATCAATCCTGTTGGGGAATCATCAAGACTGAGGTGATCTCTGCTATCTCTTCTTTTTTTACTCAGAAAGGGTTATTACTCAAATACTGGAATCATACAATAGTCACCCTCATTCCTAAATGCAAAAATCCTGAGTTTGTCACACAATTCAGACCAATAAGCTTATGTTCAGTGATCTATAAGACTCTCTCTAAAATCATTGCTCAAAGACTTCAACATTGTTTATCAGCTTGCATTAGTGATTCACAGTCTGCATTCATTAAAGGAAGACAGCTGATGGACAATGTCATCATTGGTCAAGAAGCTTTCCACTTTCTTAATAGACGCAACTCAGGAAAGAATTGTTTTATGGCTATCAAACTTGACCTTATGAAAGCCTTTAATAGGGTGGAGTGGATTTGTATAAAAAAAATCATGCTGCACATGGGATTCCACCAAGGCTTTGTTAATTTGATCATGATCTGCATTTCTTCCTGCACTTACTCATTCAAAATCAATGGGGTTGTTTGTGGTTATGTTCTTCCCTCAAGAGGCATCAGACAAGGGGACCCACTGTCACCCTTATCTCTTTATCATTGTTGCAAAGATGTTGTCAGCTTTAATCTCTCGTGCCACAGACTCTGGTCTTATCACTGGGTTAAAGATCTCCAAAAATGGTCCAGCTGTGTCTCACCTCCTATTTGCAGATGGCTCACTGTTGTTCTGCAAAGCCACAAATACTCAAGCCATAGCTATTCTGCAAATCCTTGAGAGATATAGACTCTTCACTGGACAATCTGTCAACCTTCTCAAGTCCTCAGTGTTCTTCAGCAGGAATACTCCTATCCAACTCCAAACCAGAATTTGTGAGACTTTGCAAGGCATTACTTGTCACAGATCTACCAGATACCTAGGTCTCCCACTAGGCATTGGTAGATCTAAGCTGGACACATTTCAGTACATTTTGGACACAGTGAAATCAAGAATTTAGAATTGGAAATCAAAACTGCTCACTCAAGCTGGAAAGGTTGTGCTTATCAAAGCTGTATTACAAGCACTCCCTGTATTTTCAATGTCATGCTTTTTACTCCCCAAAACCATATGTGCAAATATTTCAAAGCTCTGCTCTAAATTTTGGTGGAGTTCAGGTGAAGAACAAACTCAAGGAATACATTGGAAGGCTTCGAAGCTTCTCACACTACCTACAGAAAATAGAGGGCTTGGGTTCATTGATTTACATTTATTTAACAAGGCCCTGATCTGCAAACAAATGTGGAGAATCCATTCACAACCACAGCTCTTGGTTAGCCAAATCCTGAAAGAGAGATACTTCCCAAATTGCTCTTTGTTTGCTACTGTAAAATCCTCTAACAGTTCTTGGCTTTGGTCAAATTGGATGGATGTCCTCCCTCATTTTGCCAAAGGGTGTGCAGTAGAAATTAGAAATGAGGTTACAACCAAACTTGATGAAGTGAATTGGGTACCATCTCTTTTGCAACCAACTCCTACACTGATTGACATTGCTAGAGGACATCTGATTTGGGTCAAAGACCTCATTAATGACTCAGGACAAGGATAGATAACATGGTTGGTCAAACAGCTCTACAATGACAATGACAACAATGCCATACTCAACATTCACACACTTAAGCCTGGTCAGGAAGATAGGAAGTATTGGAAGCACAGCAAGAAAGGTGAATTTTCTGTCTCAAGTACTTACTCCTTTCTGGTTCAAAATAAATTGCTTGCACTAGACATTCCAACCAGCAGCAACTCTACTGCTCAGTCACTCTCCAAGTTAAACCAGAGACTGTGGAAACTGAAAGTGGTAAACAAAGTCAAGATCTTTATATGGAAATGCATTTCTGGAGCACTCCCAGTCAAAACCAAATTACTGAGCAGAGGAATGAAATTGGATGTGATCTGTAGCATGTGTGGCAAGGAAGCTGAGACTATCAACCATGTGCTATTCAACTGTCAAAGAGCTGAGATGATATGGGACATTGCTCCCATTTCCTGGAATTATATGCCAATTCAGACCTCTTCCTTTAGCAGATGGTGGCATTACATTTGTTCTGTGGGTCCAGCCGAGACATCAGAAGCTAAGATTCAACTCACTACGTACATACTCTGGTGGCTCTGGAAGACTCGCAACCTATGCATTTTTCAAGATGTCAGAATACCAGTCCAAGTTACATTGAAAATGGCACAGCAAGATTGGCTTCAGTTTGTTAATCTTTAGTTTTTTAGTCTTGTTAGTTTTTGTTTGAACTTCTCACATCTAGGCCATTGGCAGTGGATTGTGATTGCTAGTTTGCTTTGCTGATTTGTTGGGGTTCTAGGCCGCCATTGGTGCGTGTCCTCTCATGTTTTTATTTCGGGTTTGGCCTGTACTTGTTGAACGTTGTCCTTTTAGTTGAGTAATCAAGTTATCTTAAAATATGGCTTAATTACTTTCTTAAACACTTTATACCATATATTTATTAATTCACATAATTTGAGTAATTAAGTTATCTTAAAATATGGCTTAATTACTTCCTTAAATAATGAGCCGCAATTTTTTTTTTCTCGAAACGATAGAGATATTATATATAAACCACAAAAATTTACAAAAGTACAGCCACCAACTGAATACAAACAGCTCACAGCCAAACAACCAATAGCTGAGTAAGGTGGGAGGACAGTCAAAAGACCGCCTACAGCCGACCCCAACGTGGTAATACTCACTGACGCGAAAACAATAACATAAAACTACTAAACTAAAAAGACCCCAACAGGGTAATACCCGAGTGTCTGATCCCAACAGCATAATAAGTTGACACTCGGGCTCACAGGGGCCAACGGCCCAAACCAAAAACACAAGTCATAATACAACACAACACCTACAACACAAAATAGACAAAATTAATACTCAAAAAACGCTCTTCCCTAGCCAATAAGATGGATCGTAACCAGAAGAGAAACAGTCAATCCAAGTAATATCTGAATTCCTAGGCCCAACTCCCGAAACTGCTGCCGAACACCTATACAAAAGCTAAACCTGGATCCCGAGACGAACTCGAATCAACCCACATTCGACCGAGAGGACAACCGGCCAGATCTCGGCGACTGGGCTCATCTAGTTCCAACACCAGAGAACCGGACGGAAGGAAGTTTCCCGTTCCTGCTACTTCTGCTCCCCGACCAAGGACAAGACGCCGGAGTCCCTTGCCATCCCCAACCAACACACCTCTCAACACCCCGTCAGCCAATGATAACTCAACCTCAAGCCCCAAAAGTCCAAACCTAGAAGCCCATCTTGAAAACGCCGATGAACCTCCAAGCTCCGACCAAGGAAACAGAACGGCGAACCCACTAATCGACGCCAATCGGCAGCCACGTATGGAAGCCACCAGCCACCGACTGAGGCTCACCTTCTCTGTCACACTTTGTCGTCGACCTTCAAGAGAGCGCCGGAGAACCGCCACAGCAAAGATTCTGGTGAAAACAGCTGCCGAGTCACGTTGTCCTGCGGCTACCACCAAGTGCCCGACGAGCCCAGCTAAGCAACCATCGCAGCAAAATTGAAGAGACACGATGTCGGGGATGGGCAGACGGTCTTAGGTGACCACTGGCCCAAGCCGAGCCTTCGTCGGAGAAGGCTAATCGGCGGCGATTTGCAGTCTTGGCTAGGTTTTGTTTTTCGAGAAGGAAACGTTCGAGAGAAGAGAGAGAAAGTTTGTACATATACCATAAATTTCAATAAGTGATTATTTAAAATATAACATAAATTGTTAAATTAATTTCCTGAAATAGTAAATAGATTTTTTTTGTGNAATTTTGAGCCGCAAAACTTGAACTTTAGGATTCCCATTGTTTAATTCATTACAACTTGTTTTTCCTTAAATTGTAACTTACTTTTTCTAAAACAAAGCACTGCACGGAGAACTTCTCAAAAAAATTATGGTACACACATACTCACGCACACAAACACACACAAAATTGTGATAGCCAAATGATGCAATCAAAGTAAAAAAAAAATAAAAAAAAAATAAAAAAAAAAGACATCAAATATCAATATGAAAATATTTGACAAGATATAAAAATGAAATATTCGGTGATTTCTTTATTCAGATGATTACATAGTACATACCATAATGCAACATTAAATCTACCCAACTTTCCAAAGAATTCTGCTAAGCAAAGAAACAAAGGACTAAGTTGGTTATTGAATGAAAAATACAAGAACATCCTAATTAGTACGATTAAAGATAAACCAAATAGACACATTAAGTATCAACCATCGAAATTTACGTGCATCACGACCAACTACATTTTGAATGGAGATGACGAAACCGTTGAACTGTTTGGAATCTCGTCATACGTATCTTCTATGTACTTTACCCAATCGTGTACGGCCCAATGCTTCTTAAACTTGCTCAAAACCTCCGAAGTAGAAGCTACTGTTGTTGGTGGCTTTTCAGGGTCAGCAAACGATGATACACTAGTGGAGTTGGAGTTGTACCAACCAAGTTCGTAATGAAAAGCATTGATGGAATTGTCCAAGTCGTTCTCAACAGCCAAGAGAGGGTGAGCATCATGCTCGTCGTTATCGTCTTCATCATCTGCCTCCATGGTATCATCTGAAATGTCAATCACTACTTTCGCGCCTGGTTGAGGCTCTATCTCTCCACATTTTCTGAACATGAATTCCAGCGACTCGAAAGTTGATTCACCATGTTCCATGTAGGCCATTCTGAGCTTCTCATTCTAGAACTATTAATTTATGCCAAGGTAAATAAGAATATGAAACTACAAATCACTTAAGGCATATAGAAATACCAAAATAGGCCAATCACACTTACTCGGATAATGTGTTCCCACGTAAAGTCATTAGCAAAGACCTTATTATTCCCAGGATTGTACGTTACGCCACTTTATTGAAGTATCCACTTGAAAACTTGATAGCGTCTATAAAGCTTGTGAATTTTATCTTGACAAAATTTAAAATTGAAGGTCTTACCAAATTTTTCGCTGCTCACACCCATGGCACAGAGGATGGCGTGATGATTAGGCTTCCCCAATTTGAAGCTTCCTTCAACAACTTGTGCTACGAGTTCCTTCAAAAAAAATTTCTCAACATCCCTTGTCCACTCACCCTTAAAAAAACCCGTTCCTGCGAGATTGAAGAGTTGCGGGTACGTTTGGGAGCCATTTCAAAATGAAGATGCGTTCTATATTTGTTAAGAAGATATTATAGGAATATTGACTCTCTTTGATGTGCATGAGCTGATATGTCCATACCCTATTTATAAGCTGAGGAGTGCAGCTTTCAAAAAATATGACTTGGCATGCATGCTTCTGTAATTTCATCATTCATCTGCATGATTTTTTCAACTGGATATTGTCATTATTTTAATAATGTGATAAAGTTAATATTCACTTAATGTCAGTGTTAGGACAACTCAATGGCTGATTCAGTGATATAATGTTAGGGGAATAAGAATATATTCCTTTTCCTTTTATGCCAGTGAACTTTCACATCTATAGCTTGAATGGTTTGGACCCATTTTCTAGTTCAGAGAGCCCGTGACCTTTTCCAGTTCTCTAGAACCACACTCCAAATTCTGAAAACTAACACAAAATTTGAAAATAATCTGATGCTTTGCATTGTAGAACACAATCTCATGCTTGTTGAAGACCAACAAAATCCAATGGAGTAGCTCATGCAACCAGAGTAGCTCGAGCAATTAGGGACAAAACTGTGTTTGCAACCAAAGTAGGGAGGCCCTACTCTTGACGTCCAACACCGAAAAAAAATCCATGTAGATGGTACTATAGATGTCCCTTACGCAATGTAAGTTTTTCAAAACAGGGTCAAATTATTTGTCTGGAGCGGCTGAAGGCTTTAAAATTGCGCACATAATAAATTTTAAGGCTTCACCTTTAGTCATTAATTTAACTTTTTTTTTTTTTTTTTTGCTTTC